AATACGTTTATTGACGTTTCAATTTCCACTTCGGAAATCGTTCTCAAAATACAAACAGTAAATTAAACAAATTTTGTTTTTTGTTACATAGTGAAAAATTCTTCTAATAATTTAATTTTATCTGACTCATTTATATTGACAATTCAGACATACATTATGCATTTTAAAGTAGACGACTTTAAAATGATATTGCCAATATTGTTGAGTTGCGCTCCTGGGACGACTTTACTTATAAGATAGTTCATTCGATTACATGAATTCAACTTTAACTTGAGAATATCCGTCAGAAAAAAAATCATAGCATGTAATTCGTCTTTAAAAGAATAAACATATGACATGATGACTATCCCGACATTGTAAGTATTTGTTCGTGAATTTAATTTACCTTCAACAAACATCAAAATTCTGATTTTATATGTTACGTTATTTAAAAAACATAAATGATGTATCCTCTATATGTTACTGACTTACTAATACTGGTATTTTCTTATTAATAACTTCCTCTTTCAATATTGGTAACCAGATCCTACTACATTCTGCCGAGGAATTTGCATACTTATATTAAAAAATATAAGTTCGGAGATATTGTCGCCAATGAATATCTATATACCTGAAAAAATTGGCATTAGTACTTTAGTGAGGATTTCTGTACCTAAATACAGATTTATTACCAATTTCATTTTCATGGGAATCAACTTTTCACACCTGTTCTTTATGACAACAGTAGATTGCTTATACTTACACTTAAATTATTAAAATTTGTGGTGGTTCTAATTTCGATTTTCGAATCGTTTTAGCACGGTTTTTACTGGACCTTTTCTTGGAAGGCGTGACTTTAATTTTCGCTTGTGAAATTTTTCCCATTTTCAAAAATACTTATATTTCTAGAATAAAAAATCCTCCTAAGACTATATACTCGCATTAGAATTTGAAATATTTTTACGTAAAATAGACTTTTAAAACCCACAATTAATAATAATCTATTTTTTTTTTCAAATAGTCCGACAACTCAGTTCTATTATCCAAATATAATAAATTAATTTTAAACAAACACTACTTCACTATGAACCAAAACTTGAATTTCAATATCTTGAAAATAATACACTACTGCATGAACAGATATGAATACAGATAACAAAGCAGAATCGTGCTATCACTTACACAGAAAAGAGACGTAGAAGTGCAAATGTGATAGCGGTGACTATTTCTCTATGTTGCCAACTCACTCAGTTAAGTTCGATTTCTTGTTATAGTTAGTTGATTTTGGTTGATTTTAGTAATTCCAATGTGACACAAAATCTAGGCTTGGGATAAAAAAGTTTATTTAAAAAAAGTGTATTTTTTTGTTTTTCTTAATGGGGGTAAAAACTCGTTTTTGTAATATTTTATTTAGTTATAGAGTAATTTCCACTTACTAACATATTTCTCAAATTGGGCTTCATACCGCCATTCTTTACTATATCACTTATATGTGTGCCAAATATCTCGTCAAAATATTTAAAATTAAAGCTGCAATCCTGGAACGCGTTTTCCGTCTTGATGACGCGCTGATGTAGCCTCTTAACATACATGTTGTACTGTGTACACCGTAGCCCGTAGTTAAAGGTTAACCATAAAACCTATACAGTGAAATATTTACGATGGCTTGTTTGACCGTGCACTCGACATGTCGATTAGGTATTCAATCATACAGTGACATAACATTATATAAAAAAAACACGCATTTAAAAGGTAAAATAATTGTATTATAATGACTAGGTAGAATTTGTTTATAAAAATGTATTCTATTAATCTACTATTGTCTAGTAGACAGTACTGATCCAATGTTTTATTCTCTTTCACCATGATTTACAATGTAATTATTATTAACTATTCTTTGTTTCACGTTAAGAAAATAACATTACGCTTATGGAGATCAGTGTTGCCAAAACTCTCAGACACTCTCTTTTGCACGGATGTCCAAGATATTCCCTTTGCTTAATTTTTGAATTTTCATTTTTAATTAACATTTAACTGTAAAGTCAGAATAACTACTAAATAAAAGCCTTATTATCATTATGTAGTCAGAGACGACATAAAATAGCTGACATACGCACATCGTATTATTTTAAGTTGCAATTAGTAATTAGATATACGCATTACAAGCGGTCAATAATTTCTACTGATTTATATGATTCATGGCATATCGTATTCTCACCGAAAAACAAATAAACTGTCGTTACTATAATTAAAATAAGATAAAATAAAATTATCTTTTGTAACTACTATTTATCTAATTAAAATCATTTTCCCTACTTTTCATCTCTTGTTTCGAATGGGCACTTTTGGTCAATTACGTTAAAAAACATTAATTTAATTCATGTTTGTGGAAACTAAAATACAAATTATACAACCCTAAATTGTGCTTGTGTGTGTCGTGGCAACGCCGCGTTGCTATCGTCCATAAGAAATACATGGCCCTATCTTCGCAATGTTATTTTCTAAACGTGGAACGTAGTATAGGTATATACTACTATACTAGTTGGCTTGGCTAAAAAAGTGGTTTTATACCAGTCTGCATAAAAGAGCTGCTAAGTAAATAAAAAAACATATAAATTAATATTGTATAATCCAAACCTGTAAGGAATGTTTGCTCTAACATTTAAGGCACGCAATTGGTATAAGATATCAATCGATCAAGACCGCTGCAAAAGAAACTAGTAATAAATTTACAACAAAAAACAAACTGCCTTTTTCAAGAGGTAGGTAGCTCGCGTGACAAAAACCATTAAATATATATTAGATATAGTGTATGTGAGAGGGTGTTGTATTTATATCTTTTTTTTTTCTTTGCCTCCTGCCTCTGATAAAACATACCAATTCGTCAGTCACCGCGTCGACAGTAATTGTTATCGTTAAGATAATCAAGCGATAAAAACGAAAATAAGCGATTTAAATTAAAATTATAATACATATATATGTATACATATACATACGTATATATATGGAATTTTTATTTTGGTTTTTTTGAAAATAAATTCTGGTGAATCAAATCGTTTATTGTAAAGAACAGTTTATTTTAACAATGTTTAATGAACAATTTTAAGTTTACATGCGCAGAAAATTGCGAAAAAAGTAATGCTTAATGTAAAGTAAATAAGATTATTTTGCTCTAAACTTAAAATGCTAATTTAAATTGCTTAAACAAGTCCTTTTAAACTGAAATAAGTGCATATTCAGTTACGGATATTTCCCCCTCTAGCTCTTATTACTGCTTATACCCTTCTCGGCATGCTTGCAAGTAAATTTTGGACATATCCTTAGGAAATTGAATTACATTCATCCTGTGCAGCAAGCCGAAGCTGCTCTATCGTATTTGGAACATAATTTATTAGTCGTATGCGGCATTTGAGCTGATCCCACGAGTGCTCTATTGGATTTAAATCTTGACTAAAGGATGGCTAATCCAATCCCCGAATTTGAACCTCATCAAGATAATTACTTTCTATGACAGTGGCATGTGGTCGAGCATTATCGAGCATTACCAAGCATTAACATGAATCTGTCATATCCAATGTAACCAACATAGGGCAAAACATAATCTTGCAGGATGTTTTGAATTTAAGAGTCACCAGTCATCCATCCAATAACTTCCACAAGTGCGATGCGTCCCTCTCAACTAATATATTCCCAATGCATTATGCCACCTCCTACAAAACTAACAGTCTGGGCGAGATTGCAGGTAGCGAATCGTTCCCTAACTCTTCTGTAGACGTGGTTTCGACCATCTGGTTTCCATAATAGGATTCTGGTCTCATTAGTGAAAATAATATTTTTTCAGTTGTCGATATTCCACTGAATACGTATTCTTGCAAATTTTAACCGATAAGCTTTATGATTTTGGAGAAGGTGTAAAACTTTGTTAGGGTGTCTGGGCTTTTAGTTTGCTTTTTATAATCTTCGTCTAACTGTTTCTGAACTCACATGAACTTGTCTAACATTTAGAAGCTTCATTTCTGAAGTGCATCGATGCCAATGAGCAATTTTGCGTAGAATTAAGAACCAAAAAATGGCCATCAATGGCGATTGTGCACCTTGGGCGTCCTTGATTACTTCTTTCTAAAAAATTTCCTATTTCGTTGTACCTTTTTAAAGTATTCCAAACTGTAGATTGACTTTTCCTGAGACGTCGATATCATTTTGTGTATATCTTTCCTCGTACAAAATTACAATCTGTGCTGCTTGGGCTAAATCATATTGACACATTGGTGGCATACTTGTTTTAATCTTAGTTAAATCATAACAATATTTATTTATACTTAATAAATAAAACTAAAAATAATCGAATTAGTATGATTTTTCACTTACGTGAAGAAAGTTTTTTATGATAAAAATGTACGAATGACACTAAACGCTGAATAAACGTTAAAATAAACGTCAAAATATTCTAAACCAGTTGAGTACACCAGCCTACTATATGAGTAACATTAGTAATCCAAGTAATCCAAAATTATAATAATAGTGAAAATTCTAAAATAATCGATATTTTTGTCCACGAGTGTATATATATATATATATATATATATATATATATGTCTTCCAAAAGCAAGAATTCTAAATACTTAAATTTAGGAAAACACCAGTTTTATTTTTCTAATTATAAATGGTTTCTCTATCGCAACATTCTTCAGTAATTCACAAAGTTACAGCTTGCTGATTTTTCCTCATTACGTTGATATACATATTATAGTCGACTATAAGTAATAATTTACTACTGAATTAAATCATACACATATATTATCATTTGTAAAAGTCATCTTCTCCTAAAGTATTAGCATCTTTAAACTCATCGTAAACGTTTTCTACGAACAATTATCATTATGATAATTTATGGAATAATTAAATCATCTCAGGTAGCTGGTATTTCTGGAAATTAACTTGTTAGTTTAATCGATTTTGTTAAAAACAAAAGCATAAAGAACTCGTTTCTTTTTTATATTTACAGAACAAGAACAAAGAAACTGGTTTGGCGCTAGGTTCAAAATCCCTGAGAAGATAATTGAATACATAAACTAAAATCTTCAGATGAGATCAAACTGTTGAGATATAAGATTGTTATTTTAAATTTGTTTTAGAGAACCATAAAAAAGTTCATTATGTGGAAATGGTTGATTTTGGTGTTTTTTCAACTTTCAGTTTTTGATTGTGCTGTTAAAAATAACAATAATAGATTAGTTGGTAAGTTTAATAACTTTGATACTATTATAGTGTAAGGTTACGAACTCTGCAAACTTGTAGCAGATCTTTAATTATTTAAATATTTAATTATTTTAAATAAATTTTAATTTTATATTATTGTTTATAAAAATTACCAACTTTTAAGATTGATTTTTACTGAAATATTAACAATATTGGTATTTTTACGAAGCTTTTTACGAACTTTTTACACCTATTTTGTTTCTTAAAACTAAGATAAGATCTGTTAAGGTTCGATTAGATTGGGTTATAGGCCAATTAACACGTTCAGTGACACATGTATCCAACATGCATACACGCGTCACACTGATTTACTGGCCGCGTGTATCCAATGTGGATGCACATGTATTTTTGTATTTTGAGCCATTTACATCCGTATCAGATATACACCGTCCAAATATATTTGGGAGTGCTTGTAAGTAGTGGCCTACGAAACCTAAAACTGTGGTTGGCCTGCAGTACTGAGAACATTTGTGAGTTAAAAAAAACAAATTTAAAGATAGTATGTTTCGATAAAATGAACGAAATGAAACTGTTTCTAGCTACATAAAAAAAATAACTACAAAACGTTTATGGCTTTTAAAACACTAAACGAAATAATTAATCCTCTACATAAATAAATAATCTTTTAGAAAGAATATCAAAAAACACGCTAAGCAATAATATTTTTCGCATGGGACACATATAAATTTACTGTCAGTGGCTTGAGATTTTTCAGCTTTTGTACCCGTCTCTTGTCATATTTTCTTACCACATCGTTTACACATCGGCCTCTTTTTCTACCAGCACCTTGACTTTCTTCTTAATAATGTTGGCCTGTGTTGGACACCTTTGGTTCTGTAGGCTCATGTGTGTCGATCTGAGAATGCAATAATTCCATTATTTTCTTTAAATCAATTTTCTGATCGAAATTGTCTCATTTGCTACCTTTTGGTGTAATATCTATACGTCTACCAGTGCCGTGCCCATAAGGAGCTTAATTGCCAAGTAGCGGTACCATTTTAGACCTTTCCTGATGTATGATGAATGGGTTTTCATTTGATCAGAAAGATCAATAAAAGCTTTAGATTTGTTAAAATTGACAATTATTTTGGGCTTTTGTCTGTCAATATCTTTAAGGTTGAGCTTTCTATTTGTACGCAGTGTTCCTAGTAAGTGCGTTTTCCGGTCTATGAGTGTATGAGCTAGTGCAACACTCATATAGTAACTGTCAGTATGGAATATTCTCTCCTGGTCAAGCAGATTTTTATGAGTGTAAGTACTACTGCACTTGCTACCGGATGACGTTCAATTTTTTTAGTGCCACAATATACGCCAAGGTTATATGTGTATCATTTATCGACACATACTTTGAAAAGCTTAATACCGAACTTGTACCATATAATGCCTAAAAGATAAGCGCCCTCTAAAGCGCGCAAGCGTCTCATATATGCAAAGCTCTTTTTGAAGAATAATAGAGGCTTTAAATATCAACAAAAGCATATCGATAATCAGTTTTATCTTTATATTACCACTCATCATCGATTTTATTCCATTTTTCTATAAAAATGATTTCTTTCAATAAATTAGGATAAAAGTCCCATCCATATAATAATTCCAAAATATCTCTCAATTTCTTCCGGATTAGTATTCACCCATTTGATTATTCTTGATCTTCGTAAAATATTTTTTTCTTACACTGGTCGGCATAATAATTTGTTTCAATCACAATATGATTTATAATGTCATTGGATACGATGAGTTTATAAAAGTGATATGGTGATTTATCATAAAATTGTCCGTATCCTTCCGCTTTTACGCCAGCATTTGCTTCAGAAAATGGAAATGTCTTTAGATATTTACCTTGGAGGGGTCTCCATATCAGCTCATCCACTGAATTTGGAATATCCATCTCACTTGAAGATGTAGATATATCCAGTTCAAACTGTGAAATAACATCCTCTATTGTTTTTGAGATGGTACTGGTACTGGCACAGTTATTGCTTAGGGTATTAGCACAATCTTCTTTCAAAGTCGTTACTCTACTCGTAGTTGACAAAGAAATATCTGTAACAATCATTTGTCATTAGAATAGGTAAATCATATGTTAGTTTTAAAATAAAATTTTATACATGTGTAATAGCCACTACTAAAATTCGCAACATAAGGAATATTCGTCGCGTTTGTAACTAAAATCAATAAAGCATTCACACTTACCTTCAACTGATATCCTGCCAGCTCTAACTCTCTTGGGGTTGGGTTTTTTTGCATTTTCAAAACACAAGTCACTGTAACTGCTTATGGAACCTTCCACAGAATAGTGGTCCGATACATCTCCAAAAAGGTTTTGTCGTCAGACAACATTTCTTATATCAGTTTTTGTAATCTTTCATGTTGTTCCTCGTACGCCATTTTTTATCACAAAAGCAGTAATTTATGAAGCAAACTAGACTTTTTCCGAAAACAAAAAATCGTAAGTAACGATAACGTACAACATACTGCCAAAATTTTCAAGTTGGGACTAGTTCTAGCCTGAAACAAATGAGGGCCACGTGATCTACAGTTTGATTATAATGTTTCCAGGGATGGATCTGTGTTGAATACATATCACCACAATAATAAAATAGGCTTATTGTGGTAGCGTTTATTCAATGCGCATACATACTAAAAATGACGTCATATAACAACCAAATATTGTTTTTACGGATTTGTCTCAAACTGGCATACTAAGACCATGTTTTATATTTTCATTTTTTTTTTCATTTTAACAACTTCGGCCTGTGGAACCCTATTTTTGTGTTACCATGATTGCACTCATTGTGTTAAGTTAGGCTTTTACTCGACACAACTGTATAGGTGCGTTTGACAATTAAAATATGTAGTATGAGGTGCTACAAAAAGACTCTCGTCCAGGGATTTATCAATTTTTTAATCAATTTATCAATTAAATTAATCAATTAAATCTTTAAGGTCGTTATTTTGCTCATAACTTAAAAACTTGTCTATTTAGAGATTTTACGCCAGAAGAAAACTATTACAAAATAAGATACACAAATTAAAAAATGCGAAGTTAAAATAGGTTAACAAACTAACAAGCTATTGCAAAATGAACAACAGAATCGCTGTTTTTAAATAAGTTTAATAACTTTTTTACGATTTATTAAGATTTCTTTAAATATACCAGAACTTATGCGTCTTATTGTGTTTAAATTGTGTGCCAAAGTTGAACCAAAAATAAATAGTAAATAGTTTTTGAGAAATTTAAGTTGCTCAATAATTCGGGGCTTATTTATTTAAGATATATACTAATACTCTATGAAAAAAAGTTTAAAAACATTACAGTTATGTACACGACATGATTTAATAAGGAATTGCTCTTTTTAAGATTATAAACGTTTAAAATAACTATGTAGAATACAGATCTATTTAAATGACCCAAAAATGTTCGGAAAGGTTGTTAAAAAAGCCAACCTTCACAACAAACAACAATAAGATCACGACCCTTAGAACCCAAAATAGTTCTTTTTTAAATCACTGTTACGTTAATTATTAACATTATTCAATATTTAAATATGACATTATTCAATGGTTTATAAAAGAAGTCAAAGTTTTAAACCACTCTTTTATAAACAAAATTATTGAAAATTGTTTAAACAGAAGTGTTGTAAACAAAGATTACTTTGCGTTTGGACTAGAGTATGAGGAATGAAAAAATGGAGGTAGACGACTGAAGGGCCAGTCACGTTCTTAAAAAAATTTAACATAGTTTTAAAATAGAGCACACGGAAAACAAGAGCATGGCTCGGTGTTCTGCTAGGCCAAATTTGCTCTTTTTTTTAATTGGGGTATAACGTTAAAATAATAACATTTATAATTGATTGATTCGACCGTAACTTGATGGAAATTAATTTTATGTAACAATAAAACACTGAAAACTTTGTTTTCAAACTTCCACAAAATTTATTTTAACCTCTTATCACTACAGCTGTTTCGGATGATTGCCTTTCTCAAGTGATCTATTTTTGGTATGTGTTTACACTTTATAGTCTCTAATAAAATAGGTTGAGGAGGGGAGAACTGTTTGTCTCAAGTTGGTCATTTAGAATTAAATGTGTGTTTTTTTAATTTGTTAATTTCCTTAGATTCTAACAAGGATAGCTTATGGCCTTTATTTTGAATGTGAAGAATTTTAAATTCGTCATTAAAAGCATGATTGTGGTCTAGAAGCTGAAATGCGCATGTAGAATCTGTTTTTCTATTATTTAAAGCCCTTTTATGTTCTGCTATTCGTTTATTAAAGTTTCTACCAGTTTGACTGATGTAAGTTTTTGGACAGTCGCTACATTTAACTTTGTACACACCACTGTGTAAGTGTTTTTTATTTTGACTCTTGTTGCTTTTGATATATTTTCCTAGGTTGATATTTGTTTGGAAAGCTGGTGGTATTCCTTTCTTTTTTGTGTTTGGCTATTTTTTTTGACATTTTGCCTGTATATGTAATCAAGCAGAAGGTACTGGGTTTTTCTCTGGTGGTGGAAATACTAATTTCAGGGCTTTTTTGTGTAGTTATTGATTTAACATTTTATTAATTGTTTGTTCGTTGTATTCGTTGTTTACTGCTATTTACTTGATGATATTTAATTGTGTCTCAAAGTTGTATTTTAACATCGAAATTTCTGTTAATCTATGTAACATACTATGACTATGATAGGCTGCCAGTTTATGTTGTGTTGGATGGGATGATGAATTGTGTATAGTCGTGTCGTGTTGAGAAAGGCAATCAGCCGAAACAGCTGTAGTAATAAGAGATTAAGATAAATTTTGTGAAAGTTTGAAAGCAAAGTTTTTAGTGTTTTATTGTTACATAATAACATTTATATTATTTTCATTGCAAAATGACTACGGGATGTACAGATCTATTCTAAGGTTGCCTTTTTATTGTTTTTTGTTTATTTCTTTATTTAGAATACAATTAAATTGAACAAATTTTATTTCTAAACGTT